TTTTTATTGTATTCAAATGTTGAGTTTATGTATTTAAGTTTATTTCAAATAGTTTTTTTTTGTTTTTGTTTTTTTTTGGTATGGTAATGCCGTAAATGTATGAATTTATCAGTATAGGTTGGTATATAAATGAGAGTTTATCATACATGTTTGTGTAAAAGTATTTATTGTTATGTACGTTTTGTGCCATGGCGCCTCGACTATCAGTGTGAGCTTTTGGGCTGCGCTCAAACGTACTTCAAAATTAGAAAAGCTCGACCTTAACCTACCTTGTCAAAGCTGGGTAGTTGTTTTGTTGTTGTTTTTTTCCCCAACACCAATTTTGAAAATGCAAACCTAAATGTTGTTCTAAATCTGTTCCAAGGCTACAGAACACTCAGTAAAACTGGAGACTGAGATGAAGTCCCTGGAACAGATGGAGGAGCAAGCAGACAGTGGGTGAGCCGTCTTATTTTTACAACGCAGGGCTTGAATTAATAGCAGGTTTGGAGCACAGGACCCTTGACTAGCGGCAGAAGTGATGTAACTTTTGTCGGCAGTCTGATGGAGAAGCTCAGGGCTTTGGTGACGATGAATGAGAGCCTGAAGCAACAAGAGCAGCAGTTTCGGACGCACTGCAGAGTGAGCACATAAACCAGCTGTTCTGATGGGATTCGTTTCCCCTCGGTCTTAAAGTGGTCTTTAGTGTGTTTTGATTTTATTTAGTAAAAACCTGCGTCATGTACAGGAGGAGATGGTCCGTCTGCAGCAGAACATTGAAGAGCTGAAGTCGGCGTCAGGACAGGACACCGAGGAGGAGCAGGTGCATGTCCAGCTGCACTAATAAATGCAGTGTTGTGTTAATTATTATAAAACCACGTCAGACCAGAGTGTTAAATGAGACCTTTTCTTTTCCCAGGAGAGGCGGCAGCTAATAGACCAGCAGTACAATTCAGACAGAGAGAAGCTGCAAAAAGTCCGCCTGCTCATGGTAACCACTGCTCTAGCATCACACACAGAGCGGCGTTCTCACCATCAGTAGCTTTATTATTGTCCCCAAAGGAACATTCCTCACTGAGCTGGGCGAAAAACATGAGCACACAATCACAAACTCGATCACTGCCTAATTGTAGTCCAAGCAGAAAAGGACACTCAGGAGAAAGGCATCAACACAGAAACCAGGAAAGCATCAGACTGAAATGATGTCGCATTCACAGCTAATTGTATTTTAAAATGCAGTTTTAGAAACATACATACATTTGAACATTGAGACCCCCACGAACAACAATTACAGAGCATCTAGTTGGACAAGAGCAATTAAATGATGATCGTAAAACTCAGTGTGAGTGATGTAGGGTTATTTTTGATGCTGATGATGAAAGTAAAACATTAATAGCAGGGGAGAGAGAGAACGATTAGTGGATGACGGCATTATGTCAGAAAGTCAGCAGCTGATATAGCAGCAAATCATCCAAAACTGGAGGGTAGTAGAAGGACTTCTGACCTTCGAGGCTGATGTGTGGTTATGGGTCAAGGCTTTGGTAAATGGCTCGTACTTGAACAGCGCCCAGAGGTCCCCAAAGTTAGTTATTCACGCACGGTCAGACGCCGATGGTGGCAAGCTACCGGACAGTAGCCACAGCTGCAGCCTGCAAGGCTGCCATGTGCTGACCGGGCCTTCTGACCCCCACCAGCAGGCAAGGTGGATGAAGGGCCTTGCCAAGGACACTTCTTCATCCGCGGAGCGGGAATCGAACCAGCAACCTGCCAACTAAGCTTTAGTCGAGCTTTAGACACAAATTGCAAACATTTTTTCTGTCAGCCAACTTCCACAGGACTGCGTTTGCTCTCCTCAGGCTCGCAGGAACCGTGAGATTGCGATCCTGCAGAGGAAGATCGACGAGGTGCCCAGCCGGGCGGAGCTGACCCAGTACCAGAAGAGATTTATTGAACTCTACAGCCAAGGTGGATTCCTCTTCTGCGTCGGATGTATAGTTACAGACGGTGTTGCGTCATTTCTTCACGCGGACCTGTAAACATGTTTGTTGATCTTGTCTTCCAGTTTCTGCCACACACAAAGAGACCAAGCAGTTCTTCACTCTCTATAACACCTTAGATGATAAGAAGGTCTACCTGGAGAAGGAGGTAATCGCTTTTAGTCTCGGATTGAATTCTGCCTGCAACAGTGATTTTGGTAAACATGTTCAAAACATCGCTGAAGAATAATAATCTCATTTAGGTAAATCTGCTGAATTCAATTCATGACAACTTTCAACAGTAAGTAAAAAAAAATATCTTGTTGAAAATTACATTGTCATATTGATGTGAAGGAGAGTGCAGCTTTTGTTTTTCATGCTCCCTGGTTGTTGGTCTGCTGAGTTTTAAACGGCTCTGCTCTCTTCCAGAGCGATGTCGTCTGCAGCTGCCAGGGATCAGTTCCTCCGACAGATGGAGCAGATAGTGGAGGGGATCAAACAGAGTCGCATCAAGGTGTTGCTGCAGCTGCATCACTGGCGTTGTAAGACATTCCCTCCATCTGCTGGGCCGCGTCACTAACGGACGCTTCTGCTGCCCGTCTGCCGTTTCAGATGGAGAAGAAGAAGCAGGAAAACAAAATGAGAAGAGATCAGTTGAATGACGAATACCTGGAGCTGCTTGACAAGCAGAGGCTCTACTTCAAGACCGTTAAAGATTTTAAAGAGGTAAGAAAGTCTTTAAGAAACTTTTGAATGCAATGAATTAAAGTTGCAAGCAGCTCAGTGCCGCTCTGGGACCCACAGTCACCACCACGTCCCCAACACTTTCACGCCGATCCCACACAGACGGTGCATTCGGTGAATCTTCTATATATTCACACATCTTTAAACTACATCTCTAAAGTAAAGATGAAGCAGATAAGTGAAAATCCCTTGGAGGATTTTGTTAAAGTTTGAGGTGTGTAAACCTAAATGCCCACCTACCTGTATATTTTAGGACAAACCTCCTTTTTTTGGGGGGGGGATCTACATACATACCAAGTTCCAGATCTCCATATTGCACGGTTTGGCCTTTCTCACGTTAGGGGGCGCTGTAGTGCAGTCTGGCCATTCCCACTTTTGGTTCCATTAAAAACATTTGATTTCACACAGGGGAACGTTTTTTGGTGAAGTTTGGTGAGCTTCCGAACGCGTTTAGGCCCCCAAATTATGTTTCTGGGGGTAAAAGAAAAAAATGAAAAGAAATTCTTAAAAAAACAAAAAACCAATAGGCCTTTGCGATGCTTTCGCTAAAGCTGTTCCAGAATAACTCCAGTTTATTCAGCAAAGCCCAAGTCCCGAAGCCAGAGCGGTACTCGACTCCCAACAGAGCGTACCTAAGAACATACTTCTTACTGATGCATTTGCAGACTGCAGAACTGGAAATTTTTTGTATTGATGCCCCAAATCGCAGCATCCAAAAAGCTTTTCTTGTAGCACAGAAAAATAAATTACGGCACAGAACAAATCTCAATCATGCCTTTAAAACATTAAGGCATTTGCTCTGAGTATTCCTTCAAGAAAAGAAAAAAAACTGAAAGAAAAAAGTGAAGTTTGGGCTGATCAAAGTTCCAGGTGTGTTAAGTTTTATAAAGTTTTCAGTAATCTGTTTTTTTTTTTTTTTTTCTATCACCAGGAGTGCCGTAAAAATGAGATGCTGCTGTCCAAACTGAGAGCAAAAGGAGCTTCCTAACTTTGTTCTTCCTGCTGGCTCCGTGTTTTCCCAAGCTGGCCTGAAGCTTCAATATACGTTGGTTGAAGGATCACAGAACCTGGTTGTTTTAGTTATGCTTCACAGGCCAGGAACCCGGTTTCTTAACGGGTGCCAATCACAGCAGATTTTACCATGAGCGTCATTTGGCTTTAGAACGTTTTCATGGGATCGAGGCCTTTGGATCATAAAGATTACAAATGACCAGCATGCTTTGTTGACATCTGTTTAGCCCAAGCCATTGGTGTATTATAACAAGACTGAACTAAACTATAGTGATACTGTACATTTTCCCAAAGCCAACAAAAGGTCTTTGACACACACCTGTTCCTGCTTTAGTGCCTCAGATTCTGCTGTCGCCGTTTATTGTAACTAGCTGTTGATCAATAAAATACTGGAAAACTTGATACCCAAAAGTGAAAGTGGTCATTGATGAGTCTATGAAATGAACAGCCGACGGGTTGTGAATGTGTACAATCTTCAATCTCCACCAGGTGAGTCATGGAAAGAAAATCTAAATCGATAAACGTAAAGATTCTGACATTAATGTGAAATATTCTTCTTCTTCTTCGGCTTTTCCCTTCAAGTCGTCTGTCTGCGTTTAGTCCTGTTCTCTGCAGCCCTTTTCTTCCCCTTACACCAACTATCACCACGTCCATAAATGGTCTTCTTGGCTCCAGCCTCAACATCCTTCTACTGATTGGTCCTGTCCCAATACTTGCACCTCTTCCTTTGTTCAGGGACTTTGGCGAAGTATATAACAATAAGTGTCTAATCAAGGAAAACAAGTAGGAATATTTGTTAAATGGAGCTATACTCTCTGCAGATTGATCATTGTTGGGGATCAAACGTGGCTGCTGACCCACAGGGATGATCAGAAGAAGCTTGAGATCTGGATTTACTCCGTCCACTTCCTGGGCAAATTCATACAAAAATATCCAAGTGTGAGACGAGGTGAAGGCTGAAGTCAGCAGCCCAGTCTCAGTTGTTTGAATAAAGATTTTATTTGGTCAAATCTAGACCCTGTTGGGAAATATGAAATTATTTGCTATCCCAAGTTAAAAGGTGCGTTGCCAACAGTCAATGAGAAACAGAGACTGAGACACAACAGGAAGTAGAAGATGACTTCCTATGAAACTGTACAGCTCATAGTTGTATGTGCAGATAAATATGAAGAATTTGATAAATGTATTCTATTTTTAAAATATAAATATAGACAAAAGTTCCATTGCTGTTACGTTCAACATGCACATCTCATATAATCCAAGAAAGGCCCTTCAATATATATATTGTATTTTAGTTGTTTATAACTTAGTAACATTCTTAAATTCAACAGATTGTCTTGTCTGAAAGTCCATTTGTTAAATGTGTGGTGCTCCGTATTTCAACCATGGTACAAAAGTCAGTGGAAACCAGTCTGTTAGTCTGAACTTAAACTCTTTTTGAAATCCACAAACACTTTAAAAGTTTGTAGTTTTCCCTTGCAGCCTCGTTTCGCTGACTCTGGATAGATTACAAAATCAACTTGAAACCCTTTTTATTTTCCTAGGCTTTCATACCATAATCTTATACTTGTTTTATTCTTTGTATAATTTTAAGGTTGATTTTTTTTTTTATTGTACAACACCACGACATTCTTCCCATCAGTTCAGGTCCATAAACTGCAGTCTTCTCACAGAACAAACCTGTCCAGGTCAGAGTTATGCTCCAACTCTTCCCTGCGTTTTTGCTCCTTGTCATGTGATCATATTTGTCTTCCTGAGTTATACTTGCTGTATATCACCGCAGCACAGCTCGCTATATCATCTCTCTGATTGTGACGCTAAACAGACAGCTTCCATCTTTCTCTCCAGTCCACTTCCTGCAGTAATCTGCAGTCTGGACCTCTTGAGCTATCTGACACTTGCTGATCTGTCTGTCCTAAAGAACAACATGGTGCTCTCTTCAGTAATCGTGTTTCAAATGTGCTGTTAGACTTTCTGATATAGACCTGATAATCACCATGCTGTCTCTTAGGCGTGTCCCTGTCGGCAAGCGCAGTAGAGTAGAAATAGGCATTGATAAACGGAGGAAAAGACGACGGGACATCATTCAGGGTTCCATATGTACAGTCAGGACTGTGTATCCAGGCTTGCTGCTGTTCCCAGAGGACATGACCTCAGTCCTGCCTGGCCTTCTGTTGCTTTTGATGTTACCAGTATATGGTCAGCTAGTGGGAGCAAAGAAGTCAGAAGAGGCTGAAGAGCAAAGTTCCCGCCTGCGGGGCCTCTGGAAGCTGCACTTTAGGGCATCCAGGCTGAAAGGAAAAGGTAAGTAAAATCCTTTATTTTGTAAGTATCCACATTTTTAATACAGCTATCTTTAAAGGTTTTTTCAATTCCAACAGTTTGATTTGGAGATCAGTTGTTTTATGAATATAGTTTGTGTCAGTATGGCGAGAGATTAATAATCAGCATCAGTTTCTTCTTCATGGAAACTGTTTGCTCTCTTCAGAATTTACAAATGATAATAAAACAGTTTTTTTTTTTTTAACATGTTGGGGGGTTTTGCAAAAGGAAAGTTTTACCTAATGACCTGAAATTTGTAAGTCATTATGTTGCTTGGTTCCTAGAGATGAGTAGGTATCACCACAAGGGGGCGCCTATTCCCCTTTTCCTTTGTTGTACTATTGTGCAGAGTAAGAAGTCGTCTTCCATGTTGTAGAGGAGAACAGCGGTGATGATGAGGTGCAGAGCAGTAAACTATCGTTACTTTACTCATGTATGAGAAAAGTTTAGTGCCGTGGAGACCTGGCTTTACGTGGACGAAGTGAAATAAAGTTAAAGTGTGGAATACTCAAGGTGTGCGTCCTGCCGTTTCGGGTTAGCGTGGCTAACCACCGCTGCTAACTCCTTCTCTCACCGCATCACCACAAGTTGCGTGACTCACGATACACCAATAGTTGTAGCTTCAAAAAATCTTGAACATTAAATTTTTAGTCTTATGCTGCTTTTTATTTTACAAACACAACATTCAGGCATTAAATACAACTTAGCCTTTATAAATAAACAAAACTGCCAAAATATGTGATCATAATCACAGATTTACTATTTTTGAGAAATTTATTTTGAAAACCTCATTAACATTACTTTCTGTCTCTACACTGAATAATAAGTTGAAACAAACACTCGATGATCATAAGACCCATTTACACAGTCAAATTTAGTCTGATATCCAATCTAGGTCAAATGGTCTAAACTTGTTTTTGTTTTAGCTTGAAATTCAACCATAATGGCGGTCAGATAGATAAGATTATTGTAGCTGCTGGATCAGAACAGGAGGACTTCAGCAGCAAATGAAGCTTAGGAAATTCAGCTCACCTGCACTGGAGTTACTGGAATACATGGGAACAAGTGCTGAACAGGTAGAGTCTGCTCTGATCCAGTGTTGTGAGTCCAGTCCAGTTTATCATTCAGGTGAGCACGCAGGTACCTATAAGAGTTCACCATCTCTATGTCCACTCCCTGGATGTTCACCGGCACCATTGAGGTGCCTGCGATGAGACAGGACGTCTGAAGGTGACAGCATGGGGAGTTGATGGAGAAGTCTGCAGCATAGAGGGAATGGTGCCAGGACAGTCCCTGTGGGGACTGCAGGCCAGGCTGTCAAAGACACAGGCTGTCATTAACATGGAGGGGAGATTTTCATGTGTCTCACCACATTTATCCATGCAGGGTCATGAGGGGCCAGATTCCTCTTGGCAAAAGACATGGTACACCCTAAAGAAGTCACCAGTCCATTACAGGGCAAGCTAATTATGTGTGAAATAAAATTTCATGATATCTGTCAATGTGTTTTTGTGAGTGTTCTGTGCGTATCTTAAAAAATATACTTTGGGAAAATTGCCAGTGATTTCTCTTCAATAAAGGATCAAGCTCCAGCCCAGTCAATGAAGTGGCCAAACAGCTTCTGCTCTACTGCCGGGCCGGAATTGGCTACCACCTTCAGATCCTGCCCAATGGCTCAGTGGGGGGAGTCCATAGACCGACTCCTTACTGTGAGTTCAGTCAAAATGAGTGAATATTTACACACACACCCCGTATATAATATATGTCAAACGCTCACACATTTATACACCGATACATAAGTGCCTTGCCCAGAGGAAGCTGGAATCGAACCTACAACGTGCTAAAATGTATTTCAGAAAAATACTGCACATTTAAAATATACTTTAATATATATATTTTTTCCACCAGGGTGTATCAAGCATATTTTTGGTGTATTTAGTTTTTGACAGACTTTTATATTGAGTTTGATCAAGCATGACGGTGGAATCTGTAGCATGGGTCTTTGAACACTTGAAGTTAGATTTAAAGCGTATTCGAACCTGGTCAGCACTGAAATCTTAAAATCCTTCAGAAATTGTTTAAACAAGATTGAATAATTGCTTGGAAACTGATGATTCTATATTTGCTTAGCACACAGGGAATGGGAGAGAATGAAGAAAAGAGCACACATTTCTGTTTTTTAAAGTATAAATAATTTTAAAAAAAAGGGTCTCATCATTGATTACCACACTTTGGATGCACTTCAAATGAGATTTTGCTGCACAATTAACTTATAGTCTTTGTTTGGTCAGAGTGGAAAACCTGTTCTTTGCAAGTGTTACTTGAACAGTGTCAGTTTAACACATGAACATTCACTCTGTCTGCATCTCCTCCAGGCTGGCTGAAGGTGTTTGCTGTGAGGCGTGGAGTGGTGGGAATCAGAGGGTTGACGAGTGGCTTGTACCTGTGTATGAGTGGGCAAGGACTGGCATATGGAGAGGTACGCAGTCTGCTGCACACAACATGTTAACTTGTGTTTATATATTCCCCGTTATGAGGATATGCACTATTGGTTAATGACTATTCGTATCTCTATATACCAGAATATATGAATATATCCTGGGTAATGGATACAGTGGTGTTTGTATTGCACAAACACCACTGTAAAGACGCTGCTGACCTTTTCTGATCTGGCAATAACAATGTGAGCATCGACTCCCCCCTCAGTCTTTGTTGCACACAAGATCCGCCGGCTCTTCCGCGGATGTTGTAACAAAATTGTTTTTATCACTTTGTGTGGTTTTTGGTAAATAAAGGATGTGCACAACTTCAGATGGGCTAAGTGCAAAGGCCAAGTTTAGTGTAAAAGTATGTTGCCCCCTAAAGGGACTCTAATATTCATACATTGAAATGAAGTCAAATAACAGAAGATTACTTTATTTATTCTTTTTGTCTAGGAGCCGTTTTCTGACAACTGTCTGTTCAAGGAAAATGTGGAAGAAAATCACTACACCACCTACTCTTCTCTGTCCCACCCAGGCAACTACCTGGCAATTTCCCACAGAGGACAGCTCAGGAGGGGCAACAGTGTGGGCCCAAATCAGTCCTGTGCTCATTTCTTACCAAGGAGAGCATGACGTCTGCCCATTAGCTCCTGAACCTATGACAAAGTTGATGCTTGTTATTGAATAGCATCCCTGGGTTTTTAGATAAGCTACATTCCCCAAACCACCCTGCTCTCAAGCAACTCCACTGACTTCTCACCCATTTCTGCACCGAGTTCAAAATTGTCTTAACATTCAAAGCCATCCTTATGTTACTCGTCTCTTTCACATTTAAACACCGTCTCACATCCTTCATTCCTCTTTTGACTCACTTCTCTGTTCGCCACGTCCTCGGCCGTCCAACCCGGGTCTACTCACCACCTGGATCTCTGAACATCATCGCTGAACATTTTCAAAGCTCTTCACAAAACTCATCTGTTCAGATTAGCTTATCCCACTTCACCGTCACAACATAAACACTTGTTTTGTATTTTATACGTCTTTCTAGCACTTTTTAACCTTTGTTCATGATGTGCTGTTTTTATTTTATTAATGTAAAGTGACCTTGAAAATCTTGAAAGGTGCTTATAAATAAAATAGATTGTTATTATTGTTGTTGTTGTTTTATTTAGATAATCAAAATCACCAGAACATGCCACTGGAATAGTAAGGATTCTTTATGACTCTTTTATGCAAATATGTTAAAAACTCCATAGTTTTAATATTGTCCTCATAGACTTTTGGGACGAAAGTGAAAGAATCTATGTAACTCTTTTGTTTTCATATCTGTTAAAAAATTCACTGTACCCTGAAAATAGAAGATGAAAAAAAAAAATCAAGTCCCTCTGCATCTTCCATGTGCCCCTAATAACATTTAGAAAAATACACAGCTCCCGAACCAAAACAGCCAATCAGAGTTAGGAGGCGTCTTTCATTCACGGTTGTGTAAGCACAGCGCGCACCAGTCGTTCTAGGGGGAGCTAGTGGTGTGCTGCTGCTAAAGGCGGAGAAACAAACCAACCTTTCAGGGAAACACCTAATTTCTGGAGTGGTACCTGGTCCAAAACCCAAGACAGGCAAACAAAAGAAGACCCACGATGCAAGGCAAGCTAAAGAGAGGAGGAGGAGCGCTTCATATGTAGAGGGAGATAATGCCATCAAAGAATTCAAAATGGATCCAGAGTTACAGACTGTGAACATATTGTTTGAGATGGAGATTTTAACAGACTGAGGACACAGCAAGCGCAATGCCAGGACAAATGGGAAAAATGGACAAATGTCCCATCAACGTTACAGGACTGATTTTGGATATAAATCCCCCCTGTGTTATTTAATTAAGAGACTCCTCCTAGTGTGCAGTTTTTGTTTTCAGTTCTGTTTTTTCTGTCTCTTATCATTTCTATGTATTGTTCGACCTAAATTTATCAATGAAAATAAAGTTATTTTAAAAAATGACATTAGTGGGGTGGGACCTAAAGATGAACAATGTAAAATGTCGTTCATCTTTAGTCAGCACTATTGGTCAGCGCTGACTAAAGGGAAGACTGACTCCCTCCCACCTCAGATCTCTGTCCAGAGCTGCAGGGCTCGCTGCTTCGCTTCGGTGACGGGACACACAATGTGAATGGTAGGCAATCGTCACAAAATTACACTGCTAGCAGCTACTAAAGTGTCCACCCTTTCTTCAAAGAAGAAATCTTACACAACTTATTATGACAAAAGTTAAAACACTCAACATTGTCTTGTACATAATCTCTAATTGGCTAACTCCAAGATCACCAAGTTTTCTTAAAAGATCGAGTCTCTGAGAACATTTCTTAAAAATATGGTCAGTGTTTTCAGCAAAGTTGAGCTGAATGTTCAGGAATGACCCGAGATATTTGCCTCAGTTTCAACAGGTCGGCTATCGAGTGAAACCGGAACCACTTTAAAGTCTCGTTTACTTAGCTCTACATCCTTAAGAACATGAGAAAGTATGGTGTTTTATTAGTGAATTTATCTTTTACAACTCCAGTAATACAGAAATTAATAGTCAATGATAAAGACTTTGTGGTAGTCTGATTTTGTGATGTATTTATATTACCACCCCACGCCACTAGAGGCAGTAGCAGACCCAAGAAGATTCATCTAAGGACCAGATTTAGAAGTACACAGAAAGCTACATAATTTAAGAACTGTGAACTCCACACCTCCATTCATTTTTTGGTTTGCCTTCGCCTAAAACACCTTACCTGACAAAAATGGCACTATGTGTCTGAAAATACATACTACTGACCTTTTAAATATTACTCAAAGACAACACAAAATGCTGTTTATAAGAGAAAGTAGTTAAGGGAGAAAATTTTCAAACTTACATGTCCCTATTTGAAAAATGTTTGAACCTTAAACCTCCTTGAGTAGCTGAGCCACCCTTTGCTCAGTGTACAGAATTAGAAAAGGAAAACTGTCAGTACTTGCAAATAACCAAGAGATTAATCCTCTAGATTTCTGGAACATGGCCATTTGTAATCCAATGCAACAAGTGGGAGGGAGTCTGCAACCTGAGCCACAGACCTGAGAGCCAAGCCACTCAGGTGTCTCTTTCTAACCGGAGACACGACAGAAGACAGAGAGCAAAGGAAATAGAAAACAAAAATGGGAGCACATTGTCATTGAAAGTACGGTGTGGTTGGACTTCATTTTATCAGATAAAACTAAATAGCATATGGACAATGACATAATGAGTATTGCAGAAACAGGTATGTTTAATTTGTAAACTACAGTTTCGTAGAATTACTTCACGCTGTATTTTTCTTGTTGTTCCATTATCTTTTACCCGTCCATTGACCCTCTACCCCATGTCTCTTCACAGATCCTGCTGCCAACACCACTGATATATCAACTACAACAACAGTAAGGGACAAAAAATGAAAAATGATCAAATTAAATGTTTGTACAAGTATTTATTTTAGAATTTATGTAAACAGATGGTGCATTTGGCAATTCTGAAGTAATTTTCATGTGTATTTTGTATTTTTGTAACTTTATTTGTGTTCATTTCTGTTTCCTGGATAATATTTCAAGAAAATATACATGAGAAAGTTAGAACAAATGAAGATAAGAAGATACTGGACTTCATAAAATAATTTTTAAAAAAGTTTCAATATTCACCATCTGCCTCCTTTATTAGTGACACCTAACTTCTTATTTGCACTCAGAACAGGTTAGCCTATCCCATTGCAGAAACTCAATGTATTTAGGCATCTAGACACAGGCTATTTTTAACACAAGGCAAATGGGACCCAAATTACATTCCCCCCTCCCCAATATGTGACATATATCCCACTTTTTATTGACCGTCAGAATGACCCAGTTACGTGGTACTAAGTTGTATGATTGTTTTCAAAGTCTGAACAGTCATGTGTCGCATTTTATCTGACTTTTATGACATTGATGCGAGACGTGTGTAATTTTACAGCAGAAAAATCCAGATGCTGTAAATCCAAACATAAACAAAGGCTGAAAATTAAAATGATGAACTTATGAATGAAGTCTGTCAGTGAAGTGCATCACTGACAGACCTGGGGCCTCGTGAATAAAGCGTGCGTACGCACAAAAAATGTGCGGCGCCATATTTTACGCACAAGTTGGCATGTATAAAAATGAACTTTGCGTCAAAGTTTGCGTAAAGCAAAACTTAAAGAAGGAGCCATGCGTTACCGATGGTGGTGCAACTGCAGCCATCCTTCAGTCGAGCAGTCCGTTTTGTAAATGTGCCTTGTCAGGGAAAACCCCACAAGCTGCAGTGATCAAGCCAAGAGAATCCAGGTGTGTTGAAAATGCCCAATCTGGAATCGGGCATTTTCAACACACCACCACGTAACACCACACACTGCAAGTCGTTGTAAGATTGTGGTAAAGGGAAAATCGGGACAAAAAGAAAAAAAAAAGGCTTTAGTGGGAACACCAACATGACGTCTTACACCCCTCCGGCCACAGCAAAGTTGTCTGCGGTAATAAAAACTTTGGGGACCACTGCCTTAGATGCACGCTGGACAAACGCCCTCAGATGAAAGTCCATTTCCTTGAGTTTATGGAGAACATGCTGAGTAGAGGCCACGCAGAAGTTGCTCCACCTCTTGGTAAGGACCAAGAATGTTGGTATTTACCCTTGTTTGGGGTTTATCACCCTAAGAAGCCCAACAAAATCCGAGTAGTCTTTGCACCATATGAGGGTGACTCACTCAATGACGTATTACTCACTGGCCCTGACCTCAACAATAGTCTGGTAGGAGCATTGATGAGGTTCAGGAAGGAACCTATGACTGCAGACATTGAGCATATGTTTCATTGCTTTGTCGTCACAGAAAACCTCAGAGACTTTTTACACTGTCTCTCCAGTGAAGTTATTGAAAACCATATGCGAGTGCATATCTTTGGGAACAGTCCCTCTCCCTCCGTCGCCATACAGTCTGCAGAGAGCTAGTGTTAATGGAGAAACGCACTTTGGAGAAGATGTGTGCCAACTCATTGAGCGGGATTTCTACGTTGATGACACGCTGAAGTCATTTACCACAGAAGAAGCAGCAGCTCATATCCTAAAACAAGTGCAGAACACTCTTGCATCCTTTAACCTCCGGTTACACAAAGTGACCTCTAATAGGCCAGCTGTTCTAGAGGCCTTTCCATCTGAGGATTGAGCTAAAGACATCGAGAACTTGGATATTTTTGCTGAGAACACAGTCTGGGATTGTCTTGGAACATAAATACAGACAGCTTCACATTCCAGTTTACAGACAGTCAAAAGCCCTTTACACGCAGAGGTGTCCTCTCTACAGAGAGTAGTCTCTATGATTCACTTGGATTTATCGCTCTGATCACAATTCAAGGCAGACTATTACTGCGGGAGTTTAGCAGTCTAACAGAGGACTGGGAAGCACCCTTTCCAGAGCATGAAGGCTGAGTGGACAAAATGGAAAGACTCCCTTTGACATTTGCAACATCTCCAAATACCGCGGCCTTATACTTCCCTCTCCACAGCAAATGCCCAAAGGAGAGAGCTTTGTGTTTATGCCGACGCGTCGGTAAAAGCCATTGCTGCTGTTGCTTATATAAAGGTCTCAACAGCAGACAACACAGAAGTTGGTTTTATGTTTGCAAAGACAAAGTTGGCTCCTCAAGCTGGTTTGACAGTTCCGAGATTGAAGCTATGAGCTGCAGTACTCACAGTTGAAGTTGCAGAGCTGGTTTTAGGAGAAACGGACTGTGCATTTAATGATGTTGTGTACTACACTGACAGCAAGGTCGTATTGGAGTACATATACAATCAGTCATGCAGATTTTATGTCTACGTGCACAACAGAGTTCAGCGCATCGTCCAGTCCACTCGCCCAACTCAATGGAAGGACATAGTATCCGAACTCAACCCAGCTGACCAAGGGGTCTCGATCTGTACCAGCAGGACTTGAAGGATCACCCTTTCTTGCTAACTCCTCTCCAGCTGTTGTGGCTGGCATATGTGTCGACCGACAGAAGAGATGCTAACAGCACAGGCCTGCATCGTAAAAAGTGTTCAGAGAGCATAATCATGTTCATTACATGTTGGCTTTCTGCTGAGCACTGAACTAACCTTATCTTCTATAGTAAAAATTTTAATAAATAAAAAAGTTACATACTGCAGCTTCAAGTGAAATAATTTTAAGGAAGTGTAACAACCGGGCCCCTATGTGTATGTGTACAAAGGGTTTGCTCACACACCCACTAGAAATCTGAACCCAGCACCAGCAGGATGGACAGAGGTCTCATTCTCGTGGCCCCCACCGTGATAAGACAGTATAATATTAGTGCGGCCCACAGAGTGAGGGACCTCTGAAGGAAGTCCCGCCCGCCGTTCCTCGTCATGGCTGACATTCGGTGCTAGGCTAAGCTACACCGACTTCATGCTCACTACGCTTGTAACAATAGTGTGGCGGATGATGGAACAGTCCGGTACCAGTTGCTTTTTCTTGCAGTCGCCATTCCGGTACTTTCTACCATTAACAAATGCCACGATCAAACGCAGAGAAAGGCGACTGCTACCTGGCTGTTTGTCATCCCCAGCTCTGTTGTGACACGTAGAAGCGGTAATGACGTCACGCGTCGAGACGTTCTCTATACGTTGCTAGCTGGCTAAAGATATCTATAAAACGTAGAACAAGAGCGACGCCAAGTGGAATAAACTTAGGGTGCGTTTACACTGCAGCCTAAAGAGATCCGATTCCGATTTTTTTCGATGTAATGCGACCTGTATCTGATCGTTTCATGACAGTCTGAACAGAACAGGTCGGATTCTTTACGAATGTGACCCATATCCGATACGTATCCGATTCAAATGTGACCTACCGTCCAGGCCGCATTCATCCGAACTGAACGTCACTGTTTCTCAACAAATTCTGCGTCCTGATATGCGTAAGTGGGAAGAAAAACAACTATGACGGAATATAATGAGGATTAAGTTAATATGCTGCTCCGGTTGGACAACAACTTCAAATATGTAAGCTAAGCTCCACCGTTAGCCTCCATGTTTACTTCCGCAAACACTGAGCACTTCTTCTTATGGTGGATGGCAGAACACTGAGAACGCTGACGCTATTGCGCCCTCTACTGCGCATACGGGACACTTTCAGGTCGTTTGCCTGTTCAGACTGCAGAACACATACAGGCCGCATATGTGTGGCTGTGTGAATTTTTAAATCTGTCATGGTCATAAAATGATTTTGGGTTAACTGCATGTTGATCAGTTGGATGTTTAAATAAATTAACTTTACATAACTTTCATTTAGGAACTGACGACAGAGATAGGTGGAGGTTCAGACAGCTCAAAGATCGAAGTGGTTTCAGTTACGGAAGAAGATTTCCCCCCGGTAGAAACGCCCAACACTCTTATTGTCAGTCCCCTTGGCAGCTTTATTGCAGATTTTCAACCAGAGAAAGATCCAGGCAACCCAGAAGAGCTTCATTCTCAAGCTGCACCCAGTCCAACCATGCCAGTCACAAAAGTTCAGCCTTTTGTTCATGGTGAGATATGTTGATGTTTTCAATATGAACACACTTCCTGTTAATCATGGCAGTTTGGCAAATAACAACTCTACTTCTAGTGGCAAAAGTCTTAACTTGCTTGTTGTGCCATTACTATCCTTTGAGTGATGTCCACAAAACCATACTGTTCTGATGCAGGATAAGCATGAATCTCTCCCAAAAATGGTTGTAACACCCTTATTTCTGATCCAATTTCTGTAAAATTGCAGATGTGGGTGGTATATCTTACATATAGAGATATGCTCGAGATCCCGATTTAGTTTCTGGAGATCCTGAAAAACTTATCTTTTTGGGTAAAAATGCGTGTTTGTACAGTTTCTGCAAAGCTGGTAGTGGTGGTGGAGGCATAAAGAACGACTTACAATGTTTCCTATGGTCTAGAGATGTCCCAGATGACGATATCAGGCTGAGAGACACAAAGCTGAAGTTAGTTTCCGATTGCAGCTTCTGATTTGGGAAATGGCTAAAGGGCGATTCCACCTATTTTTTCACAACCTCTGCATCTTTCAACTCTAGTTAAAAAAAAAGCTACAACCTGACTAGATTATTCTGCTCTAATAGCAGAATATTTGAAACCAAGTGTGAGATTTGTGAAACTTCAGTAAAGTGGGCTTTCAGTACTTTTTATGTATTTGGATCACACTACAATTGCTCCAACATCTACACACTTCAAAGATGGACAACATTCTTCTATCGTAGGCACAATCCATTTCGCATGCCAGCCTTTGTGAATATGAAAAACATATTCTGATTATCAGAAAATACAAAATACTGGGAAAAATCAGGGGTTCAGCTAAATATTCAAAATGTTATTGTGTTTTTTTTATTAGCAGACAATGACTTGGTTAAGGGATGGAAAAACAGAGTCATTCTTCATCGATTTGAACTGCTGATCGCTTCAAGCCTCATCTTGATGATGTTTCTTGTTCTCGGGATTGGCCTCGGAGGTAAGGAGCCCAGCTTTGTGTTACCTCTGTGGACCTGGCAATGACTGACTCAACCACAAGAACCTAATGCACAGTTGTTGTACGGAAAGTATTTTTTCTGTTCCAGGGTTATCATCAGTTCATTAGTGTTGTGAACAACTGTTTGACCCCTTCTCGATGTCCTTTCTTTTTTTTTGGAGGTTTGTCACATTTCAGTGTTTCGGTACATCAAACCAATTATATTAGTGAAAAACAACACAAGTAAACACAAAATGCAGTTTTTAAATGACGGTGTTTATTAAAGGAGCAAATAACAGATTAGGCAACTGCAATCAAGCGTTTGCCATGAGTCCTCCAGTGCTGTGGAGGAATTGTGGCCCACTCATCTATGCAAGATTGTTCCAGTTTTAGTTCTAAGGGTTTTTGAGAATTAACTGTCTTTTTAATCTCAAAAGAAATGATTATCCATTATTACCCTGCACACATTTTTCATCTCTTCATCTACAGTGGGTCTAAGCTGTGTGGGAAAGTTTCGCTGTGGTTCATCATCCCAGTGTGTCAGTACTATGGCTCAGTGTGATGGAACAATGGATTGTGAAAACCATGAAGATGAGCTTGGTTGTGGTGAGATGCACTGGTATCAAGACACATTTCATGTCTCTGCAGCTGAAACCAGATTTACACACTGTACTTTATTTCCTTCACTGTCTGGTGTAAAATCAGACCAAACATTTTCTATTTTAGGTAAGCAAGGATTACTAGCATGGCTTCTAAATTTTGAAGACAATTAATAAAAATGTATTAGATATTCTTTTTTTTCCAACTTTCTTCAAAGTTAAAAGTTTACATAATTTGTTTTTGTATTTTGTATAACTGACTTTTTACCTCTATGACGTCAATCAAATTTTGTAGCTTTTTACAACAGATCAATATACCTATTAGCACCCAATGTCTTTAAATGTTAATATTCACATATGTCATATGATGTCCCTTCTTCATGATCCCATCCATTTGTGAACTGCATAGATCATACATGCACATACCAATTCTAAATTTAGTTTAAGAAAATCCAACAGTGGAGTACTGGATGGTATGGAGACTTTAACTTTGTAGAATTCCCTCATATGAGCATTCATGCTGTCCTATTTGTCAACATTTTACTGTCCCTCATGCAGATTGAAAGACCAACTGAGGTTGAAAGAATAGCAGTATCCACTGTGACGTAGGAGTTTGATAGTCTAACGTGTGGATGGTGGATTGTTGTGGCAACAAACATCTTAGATAGATATTATGTTGTGACTGTTGTCATTGGTTGGGTTAACAAAATTCTGCCTAACATCAGTAGCTGTTAGCGAGCAGCAGCACACTGCTGGCGGATATTTAGTGTACTACGAAGCAGAAAGCTGACATCGTTGTTTCTCCCTACATCCAGTGGGTGGCACAGGTGATAGTAGCCACACAGGCACACCTGCTAGAAGGAAACAAACACACCCACTACAACTCTTTCATTCTATTGGTTGAGAGGTTGCCAGGCGACTGTGACAAAAGGCAGCTCAATGCTTTGTAAGCTAGCAGAGACAGCCTGAAGTGACTCAATTCCAATTTTTTTTGTCAAATCGGATGTTTTTTTTGCAGGGCCGTTCACATTGCCACACATATGCGACCTGCATGTGTTCTGCAGTCTGAACGGGCAAACGACCTGAAAGTTTCCCACATGCGCAGAAGTGGGCGCAATAGCGTCAGTGTTCTCAGTGTTCTGCCAACCGCCATAAAAAGAAGTAGTGCTCAGTGTTTGCGGATGTAAACATGGAGGCTAACATGTCTGGAAACATAATCACTGAGAGTGTAGCATATTCTTTTGAGATATAAACAGGAAACCATGTTATTCAGCCAGTACTTAAAAGATTGAGGTGAGGCAGACTTCTACTCTGTGAGAATGACATCCATCCCAAAAGAGATGGCCTGTTATACAGGCAAAGGAAGAGTGGAGCAAAAGTCAGATACCCCAAAGATGGCAATAAAACAGTCTGAAGTTATATTCTGTCTGTATGCACCTCAATAAAGACAAAAAATGTCAGACCAAAAAGCTGTTAAATCATGGGTCAGGATGGGTTAGGTTTTTTTTTTTTTTCTCTGTGCGTGATCCGGCAGGGTTTTTTGTGTGGTTTTGGAAAATGACGGTCTGATGAGAGCACTTCTTCTTTCCCTGCTGTCCAACTGTGAAATTTCCTGTGCTCCTCCTGAGCGTCGCCCTAATGCAGGAAGGTTAAGTTAAAATTGAGATTTGTCTAAACAAACATACAGATAACATTTTACTAACTGTTCTGTTTGTGATCTCTCTGTTCATTAGTACGTCTGAGTGGCAGGAGATCAGTTCTGCAGGTTCAAAAGAGAGGAGAGTGGAGGACAGTGTGCTCTGAGGAATGGAACATCCAGCTAGGGATCTCTGCCTGCAAGCAACTGGGATACTCAAGGTCTTCTTGCTTTCTTCTTTTTTAATATTAATTGCTAATTTTGAAACATATTTCTTTTTCTGCTTAGAGTTAGGTTAATATTTTAATCTGAAGCTTTAGCCTGTTATTCTGTTAAGCTCCACAGACAGTGAAGGCAGAAAATAGTTTGTCATTTAACTTAAATGACCTGACATGAACAAAGAAATTAGAATCAATACACGATTAAACACAAGACCAACAAGTTGAATATTTAATATAGATTTCAAAGATCAATATACCACTGTTACAGGTGCTGAGTTGTGGCGTCTCATTAGTATGCACTGTAACTGTTGGAAAAACGGTTAATTTTATTGTAACATTTATTTCATTCATATCTCACAAAGTGGTTACAATTTAAATATAACCACATTGTTTTGCTGCTATTGGTATTATTACAGTCTGCAAAATAGTGCAAATCGTTCGTGAATGTCAATTCACGAATGATCCGATTCTTCTGAACAGCTCTTTACTAAGAATATCAGACTGGAGCCTCACTGAGAGCCGTTCTTTCTTCTTGTAGTGCTCTGCCTACACTGCAGTAGCTATTATTATTTTATTTAATTATATACATTGATATTTATTTAACTCGCAAATAATTAAAACCCAAGAACTGCATGCACATTGCTCTTTGATTGTTTATGTTACCTGTCATGGTGACATTACAACACTGTGCTGCCTGGCTTCATGCAGCGGGAGAGAGGGTGAGTACAGTCATGGTGACCGCCTTTTGCTTGGTTACTTCTTGCTTGTTGCTCCTTAGTCAGTGTTCATAGTTGAGCATTGTTTACAGTTAGTGCGTTAACTCCAGTGCTGTTTAATGGTGCAGATAGTTATGGTTTCTGACATGGGCAATATGGGCAAACACCCAGGGTGTTATCTTTTTAGGGATGACACGAGACCACCGCGGATTGTGACATGGAGATTGGACTTTGTTCTGCTTTTAATATTGGTTAAATTTATTTCAGCTCTAAGTATTTCATATCTATGTGTTTTTATGGGAATGTGAATCTTTCAGGTCAATTTGAGAAGCAATTTTGAACATATTTCACGTTCCATCATGTCATTTAGCGCGGGGGGCTGGTCTTGGTTTTGACTCAGTCTCAACTTCCCTCAGTCTTGGTCTCGGACCCTAAAAGTCTTGGTCTTGTCTTGGTCTCGGATTAGGTGGTCTTGACTACAACACTGTCCACAATGCCTCCTTTTCAACTCCTCCGGGATTTCTGGCTTCAGCTGTGGTATTATTTCAGCTTTTCTGATGTTGATCAGCTGCTCCCTGTTTCACTCCAACCAGACAGAATCCAAAACAAGAAGGAGTAGCCGTCAAAAAAAGCTATTTTCTTACAAAAAAAGCAGGAATGACTATTTGAAAAACTGAAAAAATCTCAAAGAAAGCAGAGATACTCCAACCTTCTGCCACCATAACCTACTGAAAATTATTTTGAAAGGGTATTTGGTGCTAGAGGAGGACAGGAGGACTTAATTCCTGCTGTAATAATCTACCTATGATTGAGGAACCATTTAAGGTGTAGCATAGTGAACAGATTTTTGCTCTGAATGACTTCAATGTCAACATTTATCAAAAGCACAACAAACAACCTTTGGAAGCTGTCATTTTACAGTAAAATAAATAGTTTCTTGTACATACCTATATTTTTATAAGTGTGTTTGAAAATATGTTACTAGGCATGTGGAGTCCTCCTACATCTCACTGACCTCCATCGAGCAGGACCTTCAAACCAACCTAATTTCCATCAACTACAGCCAGGCAGAGGTCATTAAGCTTCAGAGTGCTGCAACCTTCAGGTATGCGACATTTCATCATCACAGGTGAGGGAAGTTTATGCAGAATAAGCCTGACAATTCTTTTTGACCGAGAGAATAAAAAAGAAAACTATTTGCAGCAGTTTGGATGAGCCTGTCTCTCTATGAATAAGAATGAACTAAGAAACTAAACTAAGTACAGAGGAATAAGCTGGTATGGCAAGACCTTTTGAGCAATAATTAATGCAGGGGACTGTATGGCAAGAACAAACAGTCACTATTTTCAGATAAAAGGTAAACTAATATTGTGGCATGGGTTTGTTGGGACCATGTCTCGTACTAAGAAGAAATATATTTTACAGACAATAACTGTAAGGAACTTATCATTTATTTATGTTTTTAATTAGATTTTATTTTATATATTTATTTCTTCAATATTATTTTTCATGTCAGTGTTAATGTCACAATGTTAAGTGACTAAATGACACTTTCAGTTTGACTCACTTGGATTTGACTAAGAACCAGCTTCATTCTTTGCAACTTCTGTTCAGTAAAACTATTAACCTAAAAATCAATAGAAAGGTCTATTGAAAAATATCATCCATGGTTCTGTCCCATATTTATATGGCACTAAAAGGATATTGCAACTTTTGTTTTTCCACTGAAAGCTCTGGTTTGCACAGCAAATGCCATGTGGGCGAAGTTTTATGGATATGTCCCATTCTCCTGAAGGCAGCACAGAGCTGCACCAGAAACTGATTATGATAATGTAGTTGCAGTTCTATCCATGTTTTAATGTTGCAGAGCACAGCCTTTTTACAAAGTTTCAAAGTTAAAACTGGTATTGCTAAGTGATTTATCTTATCTGGCCATTTTGTGCAAGATTTAGTAACATCAGAGCAAGATTTTTTTCCCACTCTGATTGGCTGCTGATAGGGCTACCAATTTTAAGTTGAATGTCCATTCATTGCATTTTTCTTAGACACCTTTAAAAATAATTTCTGTTCACATGGCTTTTTTGTTCTTTGGAAACTAATAATTCAGT